TATGCAATGATGGGCAGAGCGCTGTGCTGGGGGGGGAGAGAAATGCAGTGATGGGCAGAGCACTGTGCGGGGGGGCGCAGGGCTTGGTGCCTGTTGGAGCCTAGGCCACAGCAGGCCCCCAGGAGTGCCTTGCGGCAAGACACTGGTCCATAGCGGTGTGACTGGCGTGGCGAAAGGAGCCAGGTCGAGAGCCAGTGAGAGGCGCCGGTCCCTCGTCTGCACAGCTGCTCTGATCACACAACCTTTGGGGTCAGAAAACCCTGCCCGTGCCTAGGGCGTGGGAGTGAGTCGGGGCGGGGGGCTCTGCTCCTGCCCAGGCTCTAGTCCTCTAGTGGCCAACCTGCGACTCCGGAGCCACATGCAGCTCTTCAGAAGTTAACATGCGGCTCCTCGTCTAGGCACCGACTCCGGGGCTGGAGCTACAGGCACCAACTGTCCAATGTGCCGGGGGGTGCTCACTGCTCTGCCACAGGCCCTGCCCCCACTCCATCCCTTCCCGCCCGCTCCCCTGAGCCTGCCATGCCCTCGCTCCACCCCCCCAAAGCCTCCTGCACGCCAGGAACAGCTGATGGGGAGGTGCGGGGAGGGAGAGGGAGGCACTGATCAGTCTGGGAGCAGTGGGGTGGGGGAGCTGCTGGGGGGCGGCTGACGTGTTACTGGGGCTCTTTGGCAATGTGCATTGGTAAATTCTGGCTCCTTCTCAGGCTCAGGTTGGCCACCCCTGCCCTAGGGAGTGTTCAGACTGTGCCCTGGAAGGAGTTTGGTTCCCCAAGCCCCCAGGAGCCAGGAAGGGAGACGGGGGCAGGGGGGTGGCCCTGGGCCCTGCTCCTGTTCCTCATCCTCCTGCCAGTTGTGGCTCAGGGAAGGAGCAGAGAGTGGCCAATAATAACCACGTCAGAAGTGCTCAGCGTGATTCACCAGCTGAGTTCTGGGGCACGACTCCACTTCATCTTCCCGGGTACAAGAAAAGCTGACAGGACGCGGGCCCGGGGCTCAGGAGGCCCAGAGAGCAGGAAGGCAGCACCGAAGGACTGTACCTAGGATGCAGTCGGGGACGTGAACGCTGGGTGTGGGGGGGAAGGGTAACCGTAGCTGGAGCACTGGACTGGGAGTCAGGAGACCTGTCCGTCCCCCCCCCACCCCACCTGACTTGTCTGCATGGCTTGGGGTGCAGAGGCCGACAGTGAAACTGCAGGGCTAGGGCGGGAGGGAAGCTCTGGGCTGCAGCGCCGTGGGCAGGTCACTCTGTAATTGTCCACTGTGAAGCTCTGTGCACCGTGTGGGTCCCGGCTTTGCCCCGGTCTGGCCGCTCCTGGAGTGCTGGGCAGGGTTTGCAGGAGCAGAAGGAGCTGTTGTTTGGAGACGGATGGGGGGGCAGGAGAGTGTGTGTGGAGCATAGCCTGTTCCCCTAACTTCTGTGTGGTGCTGTTAACTCCAGGGGAGTCTCCATGCACTTGCTTGCTCAGCCAGATCCTCTCTGGAGGGAGACCCAGGAGACAGGCTACAAGCGGTTCCAACACCTTGAGCTTTCTGGGGGAACGAACAGCCCCACGATGGTCTCCGAGCTGGCGGTCTCCGTTCTCAGAGAAGCCGTTTCAGTTTACAAGGCACGTTCCTTAGAATGTATTGTTCATTGGGTCCGTGACTGTCCTGGAGGCATTCTGGGCCATTCCTCACTGCTAACCCCCATGAGCCAAAGCGGCCCTCAGACCTGGAGCACACACCCCACCCCAGAGCAGTGAACCCCAAGCCAGGCCACCCTGTATGAGCTCAGCGCTGGTGAGAGCCGCCGCCCGACACAGCCTCTGTCCGAAGCAGAGAGGGCTTGGAGCATGGGCTGGGAGGTGCTGCTTTCCCCTGAGGTCCGCCCAGCGGCCCTGGGCTCTCCCCGGGGCAGCAGCCACCACGGCCCTGAGGCTAGGTCTCCACGCATCCTTCCTCTGCGTGTGTGAGATCACCTGCCCTCCTGTCTGTCAATTGCTAGCTAGAGCCCCAAACCCCTTCCGGAAGGGCCCCTCAGCTGGCCTCTGGGCCGGATCCTTCCTACACCAGAGGGAGACGAGGCACAGCTCTTGTCCTGTGCACCCTGCTAGCCCCAGCGGGATGCCTGGCTGACCCTTCCGACCTGCCCACGTGTGTACGGAGCAGGCTGTTCTGGCCAAGGGCCAAGTGTGGAAGCAGGGGACGTGGCTGGGAATCCTGATGTTGTTCCAGGCTCACCCTGTCCCTGAGAGCTGCATGCGTTGGACTCAGGCCAGAAACAGCTTTTCTCTGCAGGCATTGTCCCTTTCCCCGTGGCCACGGGACATCTGCACAGCCCCTGACGGGGCCGGAGCCCGGGCCTGCCTTTGCAGCAGAGCCGCTGTTTGAGGAAGCCTGGATCAGGGTTCATCCACTCTGCCCTGGCAGCTGTAAAGTGAAGGATTAGCTTTAAATTAGCAGGTTGCTTTGCAAAGCTCTTGTCAGAGAGGGGGACTTGGCTGTCTGCAAGGCCTTCCCTGGACCCTGCTCCTGGTAGGTGTCTGTGTTCTGAGGGACCTCCCTTCTGCCAGAGCCCCCTGTCCTCCAACTCCAGCCAGCCAGCATGCAGCACCCTGCCCCCGGCTCTCGGGCTGGTTCGGCTGTACTCATTGTTCTGTCCCTGGGATGGGCTCTCAGGATCCTCACGCCTGGGCCTTGCTGTCAGAGAGACACACTCTGTCTATGGCGGGGAAATGCCCCGAGAAGAGGCACACCAGGCGTTAAACACCGGGGCCTGTCCCTGGGGACGGAGCTCCTCCAGCTGCGTGGCGGTGGTGGAGGCGGCTGCATAGGGAATCGGGCTCATTCCCGGGCTGGCTATCCGGACCGCGTTCGTGGCGCGGCGCGGTGTCTGCCTTGCTGCTGCCCAAGGCAGGACGTGTGTCGGCGAGGAAGGCCGTGTTCGCTGGTATTGGAAGGTGCTGTCGTGAAACGATTGTGGCAGCAGAGCTCAGGGCGGCTGCTGGCGGGAGGTGAACGTGGGGCGCACACGTGCACACTGGGCAGGAGAGTGACTCGCTTCTTGTCTCTTCCTTTCAGTCCTGGACGCACAACATCCAGCGAGAGAAGGAGTTCCTGCGGAAGCTGGTGAAAGCCCGAGTCATCACCGACCTCACCAGTGGAATCTGAGTTGTCCCAGACCCCGCGTCGGAGGGAGGCGAGAGACGCACGTTACAGCTAAGGGAGCAGGCAGTGGGAGAGCCACACAGGAATCCCAACTCAAAGGAAACACAAGAAATGCACAGGTGCTCTGGGAGAGCCTTCCCGGATCTCCAGTCTGCACCAGTGCTGCACCTGCTGCATCCCTCATGGGGCTGGCAGGGGAGAGCTGGGAGTGGGGCTGAGGGCGGTTATTGACCTCAGCTCTGCAGATAGAACTTTTGTGTCTAGAATTAGTGGGAAAGCCTGAGGAGAGACAGGAAGACAGGTCAGTGACCCAAAGCAGAGAGTGCCAAACAGGAGTGGTGCTGGCCGGGGCAGCACCGCCTGAATGTACCAAGTAGTATTTTTTAAAAGAAACTTTGTTGAATCATGCTAATAATATCGCAGTACAAAGCGAAGACTGGCTTGTGCCCACCTCCAGCAGAAGCCCGGCCTCCCCACACGCGGTCGGCAGCTCCTGGCCTTAGTCCTTGCCCTGGGAAAACAGCTCCGTCCGTGACTTTACTCCTGTTGGTGCTGCTGGAATGTAAAAGGACAATGGCCTTCCGCTGGTCTCCACACAGGGCTGCTGGCGGGAGCTGAGCATGGTGGTGTTTCTCTGCACCTCCCTGCATAGACGCTGCAGCTGCCATTTATCCAGCTGCATTTTCCACCGCTGTTTGCTCCACCCGGGCTCTGCCTTGACCCTGAGCTGGAGCCAGGAGCCAGCTTGTGTCCTGGAGGAGTGGCAGACAGGCCCCTGGCGCCGAGGGGCGTTCGGCCCTCGGTCTGAGCCGGCCGGGCCCCGCGCCGTGGGCAGGCGGATCTCTGTTCAGCGGTACCAGGGTTTCTCAACAGCGTCAGACTTTATTTGTATGTGGGGAGAGGGATAATTTATTTTCTGAGTGAGGTCAGAGGTCATGTTGCGATCCAAGCTTCACAGTGTTCAGCAGCAGACAGCTACAGCCATGTTCATTTTATGTTCCCCACCTGGTCTTGTTCCCTGCTAATGACTCCTTGACGATGGACCCCCCGGCGAGGGGCAGGGGAGTGACCTGACTGGAAACCTTCACTTCTCGTCCCCTTCCCGGGCATTTCGCTTTCTTCATTTCCTGGCTGCTCCCACGCGGCTGGGCCGCTGCTGCTCCATTGCTGTTGTCAGCGGGTACGAGCGTGTCCGTTACTTTGCCATGCAGTATTTGCACATTTGGGTTCTGTACCTTCTGCGGAGAAGTTGGCAATAGACTGAGCAAAGCAACCAGGCTGGGTGGGGAGAGAGCTGGCCTCAGTTATTCTGTGTCTGTGCAGAAGAGGGGGGCACTTGGGAGGGGATGTAACTAACCTTTCCCTCCTGTACTGTAATGTGAATACATCAGGCTGGGCTGTGCGGCAGCGTGTGCTCTGGATCTGAGCCCCAGGGCAGAAATGGACTGGCTACTGGTCCAGGATAACCTGGCCCCACTCTTCTCCTCCTGCCAGCTACACTTCTTGTGCTGGTTGATTTGGGTGCTGGGGAGGAGGCCATGCAGAGGTCACGAACCCGAGGCAGAGAAGGTGGATGGGTCACTGCACTTTGCCTTGGGGGTCCCTGTAATTCGTTTCCAGAGGGCTCAGGGTCTTGCTCTGGATTGCAGAGCGAGAACTTGATTCCAGGAAGTGTAATTAACCCCAGGACAAGGGACACTTGGAGCAGACCAAAGCCTACAGCTCGTCTCCGGCTCCTCCAGCCTTCCCTGGGGCAGGGCTCATAAACGTGGCAAAGAGGTTTACCAACGCAAGACACACTGCCTGGGTCAGAAGAAAGAACCAGAACTGGGCGAGTTGAGCTGTGAGAGTGGGCTGGTGCGGTAGGTGCTGTCGCCTGCAGGGGGTAGAGGCACAGGCCTGGTGAGACATGGCTTTGGGTGCTGGCATGGGCTGCCCTCGGCAGCGCTGCGCTTCTGTGCTCCGAGCGTGAGCTGCCTGCTCAGATCACTGCAGGGAGAATGAGCTGTCTCCCTGCAGCTCCCAGTCTTGGACAGCACCTCGGCTTTGTGTCCAGGGCTGCTCCCAGCGTGTCTTCTCCGAACAACTTGCAGAGGCCTGGCCCTGTTCCAGTCCCTCGGAGACAAGGCAGCTGGGGGCCCTTTCCTGCTCCTCTCTGGAGGGTGGGGTCTGTCTGAGCCTCCTTGCTTTCTCTTTTGCCTCTGGCTCTCAGTCCATCCCTCCCCGTGCTGCTCGGAGGAGTTTGCAGGACACTGAGCTTGTGCTGTGGTGGGAATATTCTCCCGAGTTGTTTTTCCTGTTCCATTCAGCCCAGAGATTGTGTTTCAGTAAATGCCACACGCAGACGCTCACACTACATTTCCCAACCTTCCAAAGCAACCCTGGTACATGGGGGCAGAGTCCCCAGCCCAGCCCTCCTGCTCCCTCAGCCTGCCCTGCCCCGAGGGGCTCCGGGCACCTGCACGTGCATCCTCCCTCCTGCACGCACTACAGCACAGTGGGAAGCGCTCGCCCTGAGAGCTTGGGAGCTTTGTCCACGTGCTCTCCAGGCCAGACCGTACTCACTTCCCTCCCTCTTGTCGTGTCAGCGCCGCGGTTTTGATGTTGTTGTTACCTTTGCGGTAGGGCAGGACCCAACCAGCCGGGGAGTGCAGGTGCAGAGAGCTGGCTCAGGGCCCGCAGCGGGCACTGTAGCCCAGCCAGCCGCAGGAGATGCTTTCCTCACACCTGTGCCAGGCAGGGTGGCGATGGATCCAAGGAGAGGGGCTGCTGGCCCTGCCTATCCGATCACATCAGTATTACACAACAGGCATGCGTGCTGGCCCCCTTCCCTCCCCCTGCGATTGTCTGACTTCCTGTATAGCACATCCCCAGACCAATTCCTGCTGCAAGCAGGGCAGCTCGTAGCAAAACTTCCCCTCTAGATGTGCAAGTTGCCAGGCCAGGGATGTCAGGAAGGGAAGTGACTTCCTTCGGCTCACCCTGTTCTTCAGCTGGGTCTCCTGCCTAGCGCCCTGCTCTTGCTGCTGCTTAGAGCGGTGATCAGTCCCCCGAGGCCTCTCCTGCCCTGGACGGAGTGTAAATACACTGCCCCCTGATCCTTCCAGTGGCAGAGCAAACCAGCCGCAGCCCCGTGTGTGTGTGAGGAAGGGACCCCGGGGGCAGTTGCCCCTCAGCGAGGTTCTAGGTGGGTTTTGTGAGCGATGATCGTGCACGCCCTTCCTGCCACCTCCGGAGCCCTTGATCCTTGACAGGTGCAGAGACTGGCAGCCTGTAGCCCTGCTCCCGCCCAGGGGCTGCTGATCACGACCCAGGCTCTGGTATGGTAGGTGCTGGAATAGCCGGACAATCCCTGCCCCGATCTCAGCGTAAGCCAAGAGACAACAGCTGCATACGGACAGACGAGGGAGCACGAGGAAACGGGGGACATGGGTCCGCATGAGCGGCCTTGGGCTCAGCACACCAGCAGCCTCCCCATGGCCATTGACAAGTTGCTGGTAGACGTCACGGCAAAGGAGAGTTTTAAGGGGGACTTTGCCCATGCTTTTCGCCACAGGAGTGAGTGTCATGCCAGGGCTATCACCATACAGGCCTGTGCCCGCTGCCCCTCCGGCAGTCAGGACTAAGGGGTTTCTTCTCCTTTCCTCTACCCGCTGCTATGCTGCCAGCTTGCTGGTTCCCATGTGTCTGAGTCCAAGGTCTCACCATGGCCTGGAGCTGGCTGTACGCGGTACCGGTGCGGTGCCATGCTCGGGAGGGCCAGCGGCATGGAGCTGGCTGCACGCGGTACCGGTGCGGTGCGATGCCGGGAGGGCCAGCGGCATGGAGCTGGCTGCACGCGGTACCGGTGCGGTGCGATGCTCGGGAGGGCCAGCGGCATGGAGCTGGCTGTACGCGGTACCGGTGCCGTGCGATGCTCGGGAGGGCCAGCGGCATGGAGCTGGCTGAACGTGGTACCGGTGCCGTGCGATGCTCGGGAGGGCCAGCGGCATGGAGCTGGCTGTACGCGGTACCGGTGCAGTGCCATGCTCGGGAGGGCCAGCGGCATGGAGCTGGCTGTACGTGGTACCGGTGCAGTGCGATGCTCGGGAGGGCCAGCGGCATGGAGCTGGCTGTACGCGGTACCGGTGCAGTGCGATGCCGGGAGGGCCAGCGGCATGGAGCTGGGTGCTACATGAAGCATTTCGGGTTAGATTGGCTCTGTGATCACCTATGGCCGGGCGACCCCCTCCTGGCCCAGCTCACCCAGGACTAGCTGTAGGGGCTTTGGAAATGGAACTTGTTCGGGTTTTGTCATTTTTAGGTGGCATTACAAAGCCTCACCGGAGCTTTTATCCCTCTGAATCAGCAGACAGAGCAAACTCCCTCCTTTGGCTTCACAGGAGCGTCTCGTCCCCGCAGGGACATGGGGCAGTCCCTGACCGTGAGCTCGCTCCTCTCCCGGGACCTAAGGAACCACAGCTACTGACTCCGCGCCCTCTCCGTCTGCCACACTGCAGCTCTCTGTAGGGCCTCTGGCAGGAGCCCCATTGGCTGAGGAGCTAGAGATCCCGGTGCCGGGGTGACTTTGGTAGGCTGCAGTGCTGGTGTAACCCACACACCGCCTGGGTGTGGTGTTCTGTCCCGTCAGTGGCACCGAGACCACTTAGAGAGAGATTAATGCGTCTGCTCTACAGCCTTAGCTAACAGCCAGGTGGCTTTGAGCTCATGCAGTCGAGGCTCATGCACTAAGCTCCCAAGGTCCCAGGTTCGATCCCGCCCGCCAACGACCGGGGTCCGTGGGCGTTACACTAGGTCAGAGGAAACATCTGTAGCACACGTGCAATGGACTGAAAGGGAGAGAGCAGCTCAGCCCGGGGTGGGGTGGGGATGGGCGGTTCCTGTCCCCGTCACCATCTCCCGCATGTGGTAGCCCCAGAGGGCTGTCGGGCAGGAGGCCCCAGGATCTCTGTGCTAACCAGAAGGCAGTGCCTGGCTGGTGAATGGAGTGGGTCTAGCCAGCACACCCCCCAGAGGCTGCTGGAGTTCGTTCTCACCCCCGAGGCGTAGCCTGCTGTTTGGTTTGGTTCATGAAGCATAAGCCTGGCTGGCCTGGCCCTTTTTCCACCCACATCCGCAACCGTTGCACAGTGCCTGGCACATTGGAGCTGGCGGGGCTGGAGTCGCTGAGCCTGGGGGTCACCGCAGGGCCCATAGGGCAAAGGTGGGTCTCGCTTTTCCATTGGAGAAGAGAGAATCCCGGGGAGTTCTCGACCGCCTAAATATGGAACTGGGAGGCCTGAGGTCTCTGACAGGAGTCGATATCACAGAGCCAATCTGATGGCAAGGAATTTCTCTAGCGGCGCTGAGACTCCTGCAGGCCATGCTGTGCTGGCTGACGGAGCTGGAGTGTCTGGGAGCTATGACGTGAGGAGACGCGAGGGACACTTCCCCCACCCGGTCCCTAGGAGCAGACTTGGACAGTAGCTTGCGGTACAGCCATCCCCCACAAACAGCACCACAGACTGTCAGACTAGAGCATCTCTGTAATGGCTTGTCGGGCGTTTGCCACTGACCGGCTGGGTGCGGCACAGGGGCAGGGTGAGAATACCCTCAAACCAGAGGCTGCATGTGGCAGGAATGGAGGAGGTGGGAGCCCATCAACGGCAGAGGTGCCTGAGAAGTGGTTTTGTAGGAGGGGAAAGAGGTGAGAGCTGGATTCTATGGCCAGGAGCACGCTCTGCCTGGGCTGTCCAGAACAGCTCCTCCTGCTGGCATTCGGCTCCCTGTGCGGGGTGCTCCCAGCGGTTTGGAGCAGGCACAAGGCTCCCTCCCTCTGACAGACAAAAGGGCTCCCATGATCCTCAGTATTGCCAATAAGATGGATCCACCAGTGGAGGGGGACCCCATGGCATAGGGCTTCTACCTATCCTTTGGGCAGTCCTGTTTGGTTGGAGGTCGGAATCTGTCCAGGGCCTCCTTGTCTTGGTGCCTCAGAGACAACTCGGGAGCCTCTGAACCATTGCAAGAGAAGGCCAGATCCCTGATCACCGGTGGGACTGACAGTACCGATGGCTGTGCTTCAGGGCTGGTGCGTGGAATGGGGGAATGACTGTCTCCTCGTGATATACTCCTCCCCCGGTTAACAATGTCCTGGGATATAGATGGGCCAGACAGGAGTAGTGAATGTGTACAGGGGAGAGCAAAGATTTCTTCTGAGGAAATGTATGTTTCCGACTGTCTTAGAGTACGAGGAAGGTGGTGGCTGCTTAGATGAGACGAGAAGGATTTACAGACTTCCCATACCTCAGTGACTGACTTCTCACAGGTAGCTCCTACAAGGAGGTCCATGGGTCAGTCTGTGTTCTGCTCAGCCTTTTACCTACCCTAGGTGTCTGCGTCAGTCACGACAAATCCATGTTGACACCCATGAGGTGCATAGACTTTGTAGGGGTGACGTTCGACTTGACTACAGCAGGAGCATATCTACCTCTCGAAAGGTTTCAGGCCACGAGCACCGTCATACACCAGGTCACTCTCAGACCCAGGACATCAGTCAGAACTTGCCTTTCCCTCCTTGGCCACATGGCTTCCTGCATACACACGACACTGTTCTACAGGCTACATCTAGGATGCCTACAAGCCTGTCTTCTCTCCGTGTACTCACCAAAAAGATCACCATAAACAACAAGGTGACGATTCCGCCCAAGGTATTAGGCTCTCTTGTCTGGTGGACAAAACTGGAGAAGGTTCAGGTAGGGATCCCTTTCCTCAAACCAACACCTCAGGCAACCATCTCAGCTGACACCTTCCTCTTGGGTTGGGGTGTGCACACGGGCAATCATATGGGACAGGGTATCTGGACCTCCTGAGAGTCCAGAATGCACGTCAACTTACTAGAATTCATGGCTGTCCATTGGGCCTGCAATGCTTTCCTCCCACTCATCCAATCCAAACATGTTCAGATACTGTTGTCATGTTGTCCGACATTATTTTATATAAAGCAAGGGGGAACACAACCTCTCTCTTTGAGCATAGAGGCAGTCACCTTCTGGAATTGGTGCATCAAACATCACATAACCCTGCCAGCAGCATAGTTATTGGGGGTGCAAAATTCCCTAGCAGACTGCCTGAGCAGACACTTTTCCGTGAATCACAGATGAGAAATTCATGATTCAGTTCTCAATGATGTCTTCACTCAATGGAGAATGCCGGCCTGGGATCTTTCTACCTCACAGGTGAACAAGAAGTCCTCAATACTTCTCCACAGCAGCCCTGGGCAAAGACTCTTTGGGAGATGTCCTCTTGATGTCGTGGAAGGGTCACCCGGGGTATGCTTTCCCTCCACTTCCTTTGATACCACAGGTTTTACAGAAGAGCAAAGAAGACAGAGCTCTAGTCATCCTCATCGCACCCAACTGACCGAGACAGCCAGTTCTGGTTCAGGGATTTGTTGAAGCTCTCAGTACAGCCGTCCATGAACATCCCCACATTGCCGGACCTTCTAATGCAACACAGGAGCAAGGTCACACACTCCAGCTCACGGCCACTGCAGCTCAGAGCCTGGTATTTGGATGGGCATCAGACATTCATGTTCCAAGAGAGTGCGATCCACCCTGAACCAAAGTAGAAAAGATTTTAAGGGAAGCTGTTACTGAGCTAACGGAAGCGTTTCTCCACTTGGGCTTATCAACGCAATTTGTCTTCAAACTCTGCTGGAATCTCCAACATCTTAAAGCCTCTGCTTACCCTTAACTCTTTGGTCTTGCATTCAGTTCCCTGCAGGTGCATTTAGCAGCAATCTCCATCCTGCAGTGGATAACCATGTGATCTTCACTCACCTTTCACAACTAGGTTTTTGAAGGAGATTCTCAAATCCTTTCCACTAGTGGTGAAGTTTGCACCTCAGTGGAACCTCAGTTTTGTTCTATCGTCTCTCCCGAAGACTCCCTTTGAGCTGCTGGCCATGTGCTCTGTGCTCTCGGTCTGCCAAGGTGGGCTTTCTGATAGCTATAACATCAGCCAGATAGCTATAACATCAGTGACCTAGGAACACTTACAGCGGGTCCACCACCCACTCCCTTCTATAAAGAAAAGGTCTTGCTACACCCCCACCCCAGATTCATATCCAGGGTAGTTTCATGAGAGCCAGGTCATCATACTTTTTCCTAAACTACATGCCTTGGAATAGGAGCGATCTCTGCAGCCTCTGGACTTCCAGAGGGCTTGGCTTTTTATCTGCGAAGAACAAAGGTTGTTAGAAAGGCACCTAACTATTTGTTTCCATAGCAAAGTGATCAAGAGGTCAACCTATATCAGTGCAGAGACATCTGACATGGATCTTGGGTTATATTGGATCTTGGGTTATATTGGATCTTGGGTTATCTATTAGCTGGCATCCCCCCGGAAGGGATAAAAGGGCAAGCTACTTCAGCCCAGCCCTGAGAGACACACTCATATTAGAGCTCTGTAGGGCAGTGACTTGGAGCTCTTTGCCTGCCTTCATGAGACATTACACCTTGGAACCCTCATCAGCTATGGATACGGCTGTGGGGAACTGTGCAGTCGGCTATCACTTCTGCATCCTTGCACCCACCATCTGTTTGACTTCTGCTTGTTAATCTTCTACGCATGGAATACGATAGGGAGCATCGCTCAAAGAAGAGGAGGTTACTTACCTGCAACTGGAGGTTCTTCAAGACGTGTGGTCCCTGTCTGTATTCCACCCCCTGCCCTTCGTCCCCTCTGCTGCGTAGTCATGACACTGCAGCGAGAATGGGAAACTGGAGGTGCCAGCCTACACGCCCTTTATGCCCTTGGCTGGGAGCAGAGCAGAGCTACAACACATGTGCCGGGCAACGGACACTGCTTGCAAGAAATTCCAGAGTCAGGCGCATGGTGTGCATGCATATCCCAGGCGTGGAATACAGGGAGGGGCCTCCAGGTACAGACAAGTAACCTTCATGGATTTGCTGAGCTCTCATCTGTGCCCAGAGTAGATGTGATGGGCGGGAGGCACAGTTTGCCCTGTCCTATCTCTGCATTTCCCTTCTCTTTGCTGCTCTTCCTCTATGTCTCCTTGAGACTCCCATCTCCTGTCAGGGACCCCCCCACACACACTGTTGTGACCTTCCCACCTCAATGCAGGTGCTGGGAGGGGAAGGGAAGTGCAGAGACGGGACATGGCACCAAAGGGGGTTGGGTAACGGTCTGTTAATTGGCATTTACCCAACTGTGATGGGAGCTCTTCTTAACTGACATGCTGGCCAGGTGCTCAGGGAAGCCACCGAGAAAGGGATCAGGCCAATGAATGATTTAGTTGGGGATTGGTCCTGCTTTGAGCAGGGGGTGGGACTAGATGACCTCCTGAGGTCCCTTCCACCCCTGAGATTCTATGATTCTATGAATGCTTCACAAGGCCTGTGAACAAGAGCAGAACCAGCCAGAACCCAGTATTCACTATGCACAGTCTGCATGAAAGCCAGCGGTACAATCAAAGCACTACAGAGACACTTCTTTTGGTATGAATGAGCAGCAGGCCCTTACCCTGACCCCTCGATTGTCCCACGCTGCGGTTGCTCACGCCAAAGGCTTGGTGGCTCTTCGTATTTTACCCAGGTGAAGTATTCGAGCTTGTGGAGTTTTTAAAATAGTTTTAGTTTCTATTTTTTGAATTTCCCCTGTAGGCACAGAGGCCTTGCAGGGAGGGCAGATCTTTTGTGGGCTTCTTCATGGCTTGTGTCACATCAATTCAGTCATATCCCAGAAGCAATAAAACTATCAAACTAGCCTCGGTTGGTCTCTTTATTCTGCTCCTTGGTCTCCCTCCCGCCCTCTCCTCGAGGAAGTGTTGGGAGGACTTGCCTGCAGTTTGCCTGTATCTCTCCATAGGTGTTGCCCCTGCATGTTCATTAACCCGTAAAGTCCTGCATGAAAAGGTAACTATAGGACACCTGCTACAAGAGTGCAGCTCACTCCCGCACCTGCTATCCCCCATTCAGTCCCTGCCTGTCACTGGCATTGCATGGAGGGACCATGGGCGTTCCCCTGCAGCACCAGCACACTTGGAACAGGAAGGAAATACAAACTGTCCTGCTCCCTGGTGCTGCGTGGGGAAGATGGGCAGGATTTTAATTGCAGCCAGCAGCAAGGGTTTCACCTAGGGTTGGAGGAGCCAGCAGGAGAGCCGTCCCGGGAAGAACATTTCTAATCATCCTCAGCAGCGGTTGGTAGCCGTGCAGAAGCTGGGCTTGGTTTAGGGGCGTCCTTGCCACGGTACTAGGCTGCAGGAGAATGAGATGGGTGAGGTCTGTACAGCCGGACGTGCTGCTGCAGGCAGGGCACGTTACACACACGGCCTGCCGGTCTGGGCTTCCTGGGAGGTGCGTGAGCACGGGGCCGGGCCTCCAGCTCACATGGTGGCTCTGACGCCTGGTTCTCCAATTCCGCTGGTAACCCAGGATGCACTTCCAGATGCTGTTGAAATGCTTTGACACCTGGTGCCAGGTCTGACTCCTGCTAGTGTCTATCGGGCGTGGGTGGGCGGGTTTGGGGTAAACGGCCCACGTAGGCTTCGGCGCCCCACGAGGTATTGCACAGCACTGAGCTTCTTCACAACTGTTACTGGGGAGCGGGGCCCGACGGTGGCCATGCTTGAGCGTTTGTCCAGGCCCTTACGCTGGGAAACGTTCACCTCACCACCAGCCACCAACGGCTGCTCCTGGATCCAATCTTCTACCTCCTCTGCAGGCTCCGTACCAGCATCACTGTTCCTGGGAGCACGGCTGAGGGGCCTGTCCTTCCTCCCGCTTCTGAGAGCTGCCCCAGTGCCCACCTAGCAGCTTGGTGGGATATAACCCAACCAAAGCTTTCCAGCGATGGTCTAACGCAGACAGCCCCCCGCCAGCCCTGGTGGAGGTGGTGACTTTGTGTTCTTGACTGGCGAGAGGCTGGCTCGCCTGTAACCACACACACCGTAGCAATGGCTGGGTCGGGAGCCAATTAGCCCAAAGGAACACACGGCTAATTAGGATTAATTAACATTTGGCCAGCACTTTGAAATGCTAACAAGCAGCATGAGGCTGCTGCTAAGAGTGTGTTTGTGGCTGGCCGCCCATGGGCACTGTGAAACCCAAAGAACCTCCGCCTCGGGTCCTTTCTTTTGTGGGA